TGCCTTAGATTGTTAGAACTAGGGTATTAAGAGCATCATACTTCTTGAATAGAAATGTGACAGTCAAGTTTCCCACCCAGGTGTAGAAGTTTGCCTAGGCAAAAAATGTAAGACTGATCTTGAATTTGCCTTCATCCAGCCCAAACCACATGGTCTGCCATTCCATTTCTGTATCAGGCCACAGTCATCCATCCACTCAGGAGCTTTATTTTCAAAGCAGGCCTCTTGCTGGCATTCACTCTGCTGAGTTATTTCTACTTGCAGGCAACAGAGAAGCCAGAAGAGAAGGAAGTACAGAAGGACTGCCAGTCAAGAACTGCTGCATTTCTACCAGCAGGTATCATCTGCATGCACATGTGAGTTTTAAACCTGCTTCATAAAGGTCAACCTCACATTAAGAAATTTGGCACTTTCCAGATGTAGGCTGGACTACTAGGCAGGGGTTGAGGTTTCACTCTAGAAGAGAATGAGCAGGCAAAGAAATTGATGTCTGTGACCAAAGAAACATAATGTAACTGCTATAAAGTTAAGCTACAAACATTTAGTAGAAACAGAAGGTACTGCTGAAGTGCAGATAATTCAACTGTTTATTTAGTCTCTGTTTTCTCAAGTAATTCAGCTGCCTCCAGGTTTAGAGCATTTAAATCAAGATTTTTTAATTTGATTTACAGTACAAATTCTTCATTAGTTCATGGTTAAATCTCTAAATCACCTTATGGACAAAAAGGTATACGGAAGTAACATACAATCACCAGTGAAGTATTTTGGTATGGATGTACGAAAAGAAATGAGGAACAAAATTAAAGGAAGACAGCCTTTAAAAGACCTAAAAACATTTGTTTTCCTGCATTCCATACTTGAATCTTAAAGTGGACTTTGATCATATGTCTAATCTGCAGACAGAACACTATTTAATATTCTCTAAACAGCATCTCTTATCCTTAAGCTTATGTAAACCTCAACAAATACAGGAGATGAGCATTTAAAGTACAATGCTCCTTAAAAGAATGACAGAGATGACAAAGCATCCCTACTTGCTAGTGATTACCTAGCAATAACTAAACACTATCTCTTTCTTAGTACCAAATACATATCCTTAAAAAAATTAGTACGCAGAACCTTATTTTATCAAACTTTACTTTTCAGTAATTGCAAAGTTAAAGTTCACAATTCTGCACCTGAGAGACCTTGAAGCTGTGTTCCTCCTACTGCTCTGCAAGTCTTCCAGATGCCAACTCACCCCTTCTTTTAAAAGGTGGCCTTATGTCCCTTGCTGTTTCTTGCTGGTGTGAATTAGTTGCATTGGACTCTGGGCTCCACAGTGTGTGGGATGCTCACTTCAGCAAGTTTTCCTATTTCATGTTATTATGGAGTTTGAGCTATATTTCACTGGGCTTTGCATTTGTTTGTTTTTTTTTTCCTGTGGAGACTACTAGGATTCTAGTTTAAAAATCACGTTTAGACAAAAGTTCAAGTTGTTGGTGCATTCCGGGTGGACCAAGTGTACCATAAATGCAGAAATATCTTTACCACTCCTCTTCTTTGCAGTTCAAGTAGAAACATTCTACTTCTTCCCACTTTTTTTTTCATAGCAGGTTTCAAGCAGTCGATCTACACTTATCACACATCCCGTTTAAATTTACTGCAAAGCCAGACCTGTCATCTGATAGTGAGCAAATTCCTAGAGAGCATTAGAAGGTGAAATCCATTTATGAACACTATGCTGAAAAGAGTGGAAAGGAAGCATCATTTGCAACTCCTTCTCTAAATCCATGGAGGGTGGGGAGTGGCACAGGAAGAAAAGGACAAACTATTGAGACTTTGTATTTTCTTTAGCTGTCATTTCCAACTGCCTTGAAATTTACAGTTGTAACTTTCTGTAAACGCTCCAGTGTTTGCTCCAGTGTCGGTGCAGACAGGCATAACAAATGCTACAGAAAACCAAGAAATTCTGTTGAGGATTTAGAAACGTAGGTTATCAGACCAGAAAGTATCCAATCTCCCGATTGGCATTTTTTGTTCACATACAAGTATTTTATAATTATTTGTTGTGAAAACATTAATCCTTTCAGTTCTGAACAATACTGATGTGAAATATTGGAAGTTATCATATATTAAATACTATCTTGTTACTTCATTTGCCACAGAACTGTATTTTGTTACACAAGAGGGGATCTTACAAATAACACAGGCTGTACAGAAAAGGACTTTGTATGCAGGAGCAAAAAGTAACTTAACCTAAGCAGTGACAAAACAGCAGTGTAACAACCACCAGTGTTTTAAAAGAAATTATAGCAATGGCATAGAAACAGTAGCTCCACACAGAGGAGGCTTCAGCCATACCCACCTTCAGCTACAAGTAAGTCTGACGCCAGTAACTCTTGTTCCAAGTAATCACAAAAAGTTGAGTTAACCTCTTTCAGGTAAGAATTAAGCATGTCACAGGAACCTCCCTACATGTTTGATTTTGGAAAGTTAGTAAACACGTTAACAGGACAGGCTATCTGTGCCGCAAAGAGAAAAACCCCGTGTCGCATATATACACACCAGCTGAACTGATTAGCAAGAACACATTAAACTAAGAACACCCTTCCTATTCAATTCTCAAAGTCAGAGGTCTTCCCTGAAACAAAATCACAGAGAAAACTTTGCTTTCTGCGACCGTCATTATTTACCATAAAGCTGATCTATGCTGAAGAAAAAGAAATGTGTTTACAGACCATAGAAGCTCTGGTTTGAGCCACAGTCCTGACATGGTCTCCAATACTTAACTGTCCACAAAGATCAGAGCTCCTGAATAAGTTACGCTGGAGGACATACGTATTTGCTTTCCAAGGAAATACCATCTATCCCGGGCTAAAAGGGAGTTTGACTGAGTGAATCCAGAGGGATTCACCCTCCGGGTCCCTTTGCACAGGCATGCCGTTGGACTCGCCTACGCTAAGTCAGCTCTCCCTAGAAAAATCACTCTTGGCTCTTCCTGCGTACCCAGCCAGTAACCGGGAAAGCTTGTTATTTTCCTCTGCCGACGTTTTCTGGGCGAGCGTCCGGGTTTCACGAACGCAGCGGGCAGCGCGCAAAGGGACAGCTGCTCCAGCTCCCGGCTGGAGAGCGGACGCTTCAAGCGAGGAGCTCCCACGTGTTTTCCAACACCCGCTACTCAGCCTTGAGTCACACCGAGCAACTGGGCGGGCTGCCCTCGCACCCTTCGCCTCGCCCGGCGCCGGACCAGCCACGTCCGCGGCCAAGGCGCGCCCGCCCGCCCCGAGACCTCGCACCTAGGCTAACCGGGAGGTCGCTGGCGGGGAGCCCGGGCGGCAGACCGCCGAAGGGCCGCGTGGGAACCGCTCTGCCCCTGCTCCCGCCCTCCCGTCGCTACCAGATACCGCAGGTGACGGAGGCCGGCGGCTGCCCGTCCTCGCCGGAACGGC